GCCTTATGTTGGACCATGACTTCTTTTCCGGTTCCTTGATCGTATACACCGTCGGTAGGACTCCTTGGGAGGGGGATCAGCCCGACACAAGGCCTCTACCTACACACAGAACAACACAAACACAGAATAAACGCACATAGACATCCATACCTCAAGAGGGATTCGAACCCATGACCCTAGGGTTCGAGAGGGCGAAGACAGTTCATGCCTAAGACCGCGCGGCCACTCTGATAGGCTAATGAAATTATATTTTTCATAGAGGAAAATGTAAAGGCCACAATCAACATCAATGTGTCTATATACTGCTTTTTGACGTAAATATTTTGTAGATATATTCACATTCTGTCATAAACCTGCATTTAATATTCGTTCATAAAAATTTACAGTTACAAATTCCAGCTATTTTGTGTTTCCTCACAAGAAAGGGAAGTAGAACAGAGCACCTTGTACACATTTGGAAATGTAAGACCCCAAATTCTGATTACTTCCTGTCTACATGTTAATATAATTTATGTATTTAGTTATTTCAATATTTGTGCTTTATTTAACATCAATGCCAATAACTCAGATTACACAGCGTTGAATGAATTCGAAAAGATGTGGAAGAATTCGGTCGTGAACATAAACTAAAAAAATAAACTGTGTCCTTTAGTCCGCAAGCGAACTATACCGACCGAGCGACCGTCGTTTGTCGGCGAAGTTAGTGCCAACTTTAGCGGATAGAGGGTGTCGCATGGTCAGCGCAACGGTTTTCTAGACCGTAACCGTTACTTTTTCCATTCAAGTAGCTCCTCAATTATCCTCACGAGGCCGAGCGGACCCCGTTTCAGACCCACCACTTCTCAGAAAATATGGTAGGGCCGGGAATAGAACCCGGGTCCTCTGGATCTGTATCCAGGAACTCTGACCACCAGACTACAGAGGCGGTAGGTCGTGGACATAGCTCAAGGTAATTTCTGTGGAGAGACTGAATAAATCCATGGACAGGATTGTCAGTATCCCTACCGAGATTCGAGCTGGGCGTCTCGCGAATACAAGACAGAAGCTTTACTGCATGAGCAGACTTGTCCTTTTTGTATCAAAGATATTGCACATTTTCACGGAGATGGGTCATCTCAAGAGAACACTACAGTAGCAAGTTTGAACACCATTGAACTGCGTTATATATCACGTAAAACTTTGTGATGTGTATACCCACTGCTAGGCAACGACTGGGTAAACACATTCCAGCGGCAGCAAAAGCGATCAACATCATGACGTCCATTGTTAAGCAACGGATTAGTAAACACGCCCCCTTAGCAATAGAAGTTGTGTTTTCTGCGTAGTCCGTGCAAAGTATTAATAAAGAAGTGTCCGGCAGCATAGAGCAGGATAGAACAGTAGGGCGTACCCTGAGCTCACGAGACCGTTCGAGACTAAACTGTCTGCTGTTTCGCTGCTACTGTCAGTACCAGTCAGTACGGTTGCAGAGAGGCGGAAGTACTGAAAAGAGAGAGAGAGCGCGAGAATAGTGAGGTAGAGAGAAACTAAATTTGGGGGAGGGGAAAGAAACCATATTTCCGATTTTGAAGGATCCCAGGCAGTGCTCAGTCATCCTTCTGGTAGACGTAAGGCTACATTAGAGCGCCACAGATCAGATGACGGCATTCTTCATAGTGTTTATGTTGACCGCCGTGAGAACCCCAAATCCGACAAGAAACATATAATAATTTAACAATAACATTGGCGTTCCTATGGGAGCTAAAATGAGGCATAATGTTTCACTTAAGAAAAGAGTCCTGGTTTCTTACGGGACTGTAATGTAGCTTCTGCGTACTTCATGTAGCGTTTCAACAGACTTAATAAGCGCTGGAGGAAGCGCCCCTAATTTGGAGTGTGCATGGCTTTCTCTCTCTTGAAAATTGTTAGTACTGCAATTTCGTTCCGATCAGAGTGACCGCGCAGTGTAAGTCAGGAACCGTCTTCGCCCGCTCAAACACTGGGATCATGGGTTCGAAGCCCGCTCAAGGCATGGATGTCTGTGTGCGTTTATTCTGTGATTGTGTTGTCTTGTGTATAGGTAGCGGCCTTGCGACGGGCTGATCCCCCACCCAAGGATTTCTACCGACTGTGTAAATGATCAAGAAACTGGAAAAGCGGCCAGGGTTCAACAAAAGGGCTGTAGAGTCACAGATAAAATAGGTCGGACATTCATGTACGCTGTACACCTTGTACATGTGTACGCCACACTAAATACTGCTTAATTACCGTCGGTTTGTGTAATGTTTTGTTTATATTTGAATAAGCAATCTTACATATATTACGTCCGTAGCTGTGTATGCTTACACAGTAGTTCTGTCAGCCCGTTCTTTGTATATATTTTCAGCTGCGCTATCCCGCTAACACGGTGCCAGACGTAATCACGTTTCCATAAACCCACAACATCTGAGACCTCTGCTTACGTGCCATTTATTTATATCAGCAAAATTTAAAAAAAAACATTCGCCATAAATTTCTGGTCTGTTATAGTAAGCCAATTTTGCCTGTGGTTTTCTTTGTGGGTGTGAAACTTCGTCTCTCGCTTCAACTGAATGACGTCGACGCAGGGTATTCAAGAACCTGGTACTGAAGAGAAACCTGGAACTAAGATGAAAGAAGTAACAGGAGACTGGAGAAAAATTCATAATGAGGCGCTTCGTAATTTACGCTCCTCGGTATGAGTATTATATTAGAATGATGAAGTCATGGAGGATCAGACGGACGGGGTGTGTAGCACGAATGAGAAAAATAAATTTAGCAGGAAAGTTTAAAGGACTGAGAACCTAGAAAGATCTAATAGTTGTTTGGAGGCTAATATTAAAATGGATCATAAAGAAATACTTTGCAAAGTTGTGGTGAGAGAAGAAACGGGCTGTTGTGAATGCGGTAAAGAAACCTCGGGTTCCATAAAATGCTCGGAATTTCTTGAGCCGCTAAGCAACTATAAGCTTCTCAAGAAGGATTCAGTTACAAGGAATTACGTAGTTATCTTAAGCCAAGAGCACCATGTTACAATCGTCTGGCGACGTAAACCCGCAGAACAGTCTTCTTACGGATCTGACAGTCAGCAAGCTGGCCAAAAGTTCTCCGCCTCTTACAGAATTGCGTCCACAGGTTCATTCTCCTAAGCCAGATTAATCCCATTATCGAATGAGCTAGTATAGCAGTAATGTTACAAAATAATATTTTGGAGATGATCGGTTCGATTCTCTTTCTGGACATCCGCGATTCTGATTGTCTATCATTGTTATCCTCAGTCCTTCCAAGCATATATCGGGATACTATCTTGATTAGGCCAGGACAGGTTCCTTACAATGTAGTTCACTTTAATCACTCACCAACCAATGTACCGTTCGACGCTACGAAGTCTAGCTACTGACAAGCGTCGTTAAGTAACCAACAGAATGAACAATAATCAGGTGTACACTGTACTCCTTCAAGGTGCATTGTGCTATCCGTCTAGGTCTAGCAAGTAAATGTTTTCCTTGCAGGTTTTCCGAATGAAACATATTGATGCAGTGGACTAAATCAAGTAGAATTATGTCATTAACGTTATCATCATCATCAAATTTCGGGCCTTTCGATTAGTTCCTTTCATCTGTAAAATGGATTGAGCCTTCCAGCGAAATTTCGGGCGCCCAATGACTCTAGTTCCTCTGAGTGTACAGTACATCAGCTGTTTCGGAGTGCGGTCACTTTCCGTTCTCTGGACACGACAAAGTTAACTATAACAAGACATGAGTAACTTCAAGTACCAAGTTGTTACGAAGGGCAGTCATACACTGTAGGGTCGAGGGTTCAAGCCAAGTAGGAAACCAGATATAAAGCTGTGGAAAGCAGAGTGACAATTACAGGAACCTGTAAAGAGATAAAGTCAAGGTAAAGTTGTAGCTGTGCCTAATTAATTAAGCACTATGTCATGACGACGTGTCGGGGAGTGGAGTTTTAGCTCCGCCATTCCTGACTTCGGAACCAGAAGGAAGTGTGGTCAGCTTCACGTCTCGGTCGACTTATCTCCGGAAATAGAGCACTTGGTACTCAATGGAGAAAAGGCTTGGTGGGCTCCAGAGGGTGTCTGGACGTTAGGAAGAGAAAAATATCTCAGCCCTTCCAGGAATCGAACCAGGTCTGTCTAGCCGTAGCCCGTCTCTACAGCGATTGAGCTAAATATGCGGTACTTCTTCAGAAATGCTTCCTGTTGTTTCCTGTAACTTTCTGGCATTTATGTACACTTGTAAAAGTGAAGAAAAATTTGGCCCCATGCTTTACTACGCATCACTCCGCGACTAATTTGAAGTCTGAAATCGGTTCGGGACAGAAGTGTAAGCCAGCAGTTTCTGTGCAGGCAGAAGCTTTGTGATTGGTTCATCCATGATCCAATCTGATCCAGACTCAGAGCGAATTAAGAGTTTCAGTAACAATATCTGAACCCAGAGAGGCCTGAAGATTTAATCCGAAACAGCTGAAGCACAAAAAGCTTATCAATCAAATGAGCAATACTTTCTCCCGATTTTAAACAGCATTGGAATTTCTCGAAAATTTATAATAATACAATATCACATTTCGTTAACATTCTGCGGATTCCGAAACGTCACATTAGAGAGAAAGAGGAACGGAGAGACAGACACAGCGAAACAAATAAGCTTTATTTTTACATTTTGAAATTGCATAAAGAGATTCATTGTCTGCACGACAACCACAGCTTCTTAATCCTTCGTAAAGCACGCATAATTCAACAGAAATATAAAGATATTAATCTGAAAAATAATTACGACAAATAATTTTACTACAGCCATATTTGAATTCTGTTCTTTTCGGTATCTACCCCGAAGACAGAAGCAATAAGTTCGTGCTTAACGCTGGTAATCATCTATCAGACTACGCGGTTTCATACACCCATAAGACCACAGTTCAAATTGCACATAATTTTACAAAGTGACCTCGTTAAGAGACGAAAGTATTTAATTGCAGTGAATACTTACAGCCGTGTCGCACCTTGCTTTGATGTATTATCCTTGGATTCCAAAGATGATATTACAGCAGTGACGGAGATAATTAAAGGGCCGATTTAAGTGAAGAAGTCTTACATGTTGTGTAACAGGCCCCCGAAACTGTACAAGCAACGCTCTTTCCTCCACGGTCGTACGAGATTTACATCAAACACGGTTTTGTAAAAACGGAAGAAAAAATGTACTCTATCTTTGGTGACGTCAGATTTGTGAGTGCCTTCATCTGTAGTAATACCTTTGAAATGTATTCACAAGAATTGTTCTTCACTGTTTCCGAACGCGCTTTAGGAATATCGTAATCTCTTCTGTCATTAGTAGACCAAATATATTTGGAAGATAAAATCACTAATCGGAGTAGTTTTACAGTAGGTGTTGTACAGTTTACACACGCAAATATAAATGTCATTCACTTAAGACATTTAATATTATTTCACACGAAAATCTTGAAAATCTTAATGATAATTGTTTTTCAAACTCATTAATTATTTACGAATTGTATTCTAGACAACTCGACAACTACTGACAAGTAAGATTTTCCTAAAACGAAATACGTATTATCACTACGCAACATCGCACAATTTATTTGATGAATATAATAAGAATATGTGACAAAGACAAATTTATATGTTAATAATTCTGATTACGTGTTTGTAATAACGCTACGTTAACGTTTGTACAAAGACGATAACGGGAAGCGTCCGCGAAACAATTCGTTAAGTCCCCGCGCAACGAAACGTGTGGACTGCTCGAAGCGCCGCCACATAACGTGACGTTGGATGGTGAAGTGAGGACTACATGCTTCTGTCGGTGTGGGAGGAACAGCCGCCATGCGTCGTAGTGTCTGTACACTTCACTTCGCGCATCTCTGTAGCGGCGAAATGTTCAATATACATTCTTCAATTTCTACCTTAAGAGCATGATGCTTGGAGGCCATTTCTCCTTTTCAAATCATTAATAAAACATTTTTTCTGAGACACATCTACATAATTATGGCGGGAAATGATTCTTAACCTCCTGAACCGTGTGTCCTACTTGTCGCGTTGTAAAAATTATACCACATCAATAATAACAAGAAGTTATATGAAGAACTAATTGCCTACTTTCCTTAATACGACACGGATTGCACAATTCTTTTGTTACGTGTGTACTCGTTGCCGCGATAATGTTTATAGAGAGCCGTTGACTAGCAACGATAGGTGAATACAAAGACAAACAGACTAATCGAAGGTATTTATGAAGTATGCCGTTTATATCGGCTCAGCGCAATGTTACACAAACCAAGTTTCATAAAGATTGGTTCATCCCAATCGAAAGTTGATAGCGCGGGGATACACAGACACACGGACATGGTGATCGCATAAGCCTGATTCTATTTTTTAAAAATAAGGAAAGTAGGCTAAGACCAAGGCGTAGGTGGGTGGACAATATTAAAATGGATCTTAGATATAACGGATGGGATAGTGTGGATTGGATTGGGCTGACTCGGATTAGGGACCAGTGGAGGGCTTTTGTGAACACGGTGATGAGCCTTCGGGTTCCATAAAATGCTGGGAAGTTCTTGAGTAGCTGCACAATTGGCGGCTCCTCAAGAAGGGCTCAGGTTCAAGAGTGAATGAGTAAGGAAAGTAGGCTAAAAACAGATGTTTTCTCGGAAGAGTTACAGCTTCTGGGACGTGATACCGTGCAGCGTGGTGAAAGTTAACAACCGCTGCAGAAGAACATATTGCGTCCATGTTCAGGGATGAAAAGTAAGCCAAGTAAGAAATCAGCATAAAGCATGCACCCTCTCCTCTTAAATGGCATCTGATGTCCTTATTTTTCTGACCCTCTAAGGCTCATTATCCATGAATATTTATGGCGTTTATTAGCGAACCATTTATTTAAATGGAGCTGTTTCCACACAGCCACACAACTTACCTGTGGTTCAGTACGACTAGCAGTACGAAGTGGCTAGGGCCGCGCCATAGCTCGAGCGGTTAGTCGCTGGCTTCCCACTGCGGCGGCCCGGGTTCGATCCCAGGTCTGGTCAAGTGGGATTTGTGGTGGACAAAATGGCGCTGGGGCAGGCTTTCTCCGAGTACTTCGGTTTGCCCTGCCAAGCTTCATTCCACCAATTACTCCACAATCACCCTCAACTATCATCTGGGGCTGGTACAATAGGCCAGAAGTGACCGCAGTACAAGGGACTTAGTCCCACCCCACTAGCAATAAAAAAAAAAAAAAAAGGGGGTAGCTAGAAAACCTCGAGCAAAAACATATTTACCTACTTACAGCTCTACACTCCTTGTTCGCCTTGGTCTCTTTCTCAGTTTCTCAATCCCCTCGGCGCAAGGCCGCTACCTACACAGAGCAACACAAACACTGATTAACGCCCACAGACATCCACGCGTCGAGTGGGATTTGAACCCACGATCCCAGTGTTCGAGCGCGCGAAGACAGTTCATGCCTGAGACCGCGCGGTCACTGTGACCGGCAGCGTATAAGAATAATATATAAGAATTCAGTTCGTACCTCACAGGAAACAGATCCGAACCCATGATCCCGGCTTCCAAGCGCGCGAAGACAGTTCATGCCTTAGACCGCGCGGTCACTGTGACCGGCAGTGTATAAGAATAATATATAAGAATTCAGTTCGTACCTCACAGGAAACAGATCCGAACCCATGATCCCGGCTTCCAAGCGCGCGAAGACAGTTCATGCCTTAGACCGCGCGGTCACTGTGACCGGCAGTGTATAAGAATAATATATAAGAATACAGTTCGTACTTCACAGGAAACAGATCCGAACCCATGATCCCGGCTTCCAAGCGCGCGAAGACAGTTCATGCCTTAGACCGCGCGGTCACTGTGACCGGCGTAAGCAATGCCTTGAGCAGGTGATATTCCCAAGCGATCACCTATGCAAATATTACTTCAGGCCGATCAGTACGTTATGTTATCTACCTCTGGCTTGTCTTTTTGTACCACCTTAGAACTTCTGTATTAACAAGACCCATCCGGAACAGAAACAGGGAAAACCACCAAGAACTCCGAAACACAGACCTGAAACTTCGATGAGAATGTGGACTGCCACAACTAAAATGTAGCACGCAATTTAACACTTCCAAACCTGAACACAATTTAAGGGCTGTAGCTCTGTAATGTGACCTGGAGGGCATAACCCCGAAATAGAACACACCCTCCCCACATTACAAAATCCATTGAACACTTAAGCGTGCAGACAATGCATGACCGGAGCTCTCGCATGGCACTGTAATATTTTGTAAGTAGGATTTGAGATGCTCACATGGGTATGAAGCGATCTGTCTCATGAGATACAACACCGTTCTGTAGAAAAATCATCATATGTTTCGGAGAGACACGTCGACTCCATCTTAAGTGTTGCAGGTTTATGTCAAGCGATAAACCGGCATGAAAAGGTAGTAAGTAGATATTCCTTTAGTGCCTAAATCTTGATCGTTGCCTGGAGTAGATCCTGAAGATTGAAGCAGTTTTACCTTCGAAACTTCTCTTGATTTTCAACGTACTACACGGCGTTTTACCCCAGAAGATACGTATAATTCGAAGTTTACTGCGCGTGTGAAGTAGTGAAGCAGATTTCATTCTGTTAGAGAGAAACAACGGATTTTGATATGATGAGGATAGTAACAGGATTAACGAATGACGTTGCAAATTTCGTACGAATTTTTTTCACAGGCTGCACGTTAGCTTTGTGCCTGTACAATTCTACGATGAGAGAGAAATTGCGGTCGTGACGTAACGGCCTTGTTACGCTTACAGATTCTAAAATGCTGAATGGGGGGTTAATTTGCGAGTCAAGAGGGTTACGAGAACTGTCACGACAGCTATTTACGGTACTTTCCTAGATTTCGCCTTCAAAGTCGGAGAAAGTGAAGAAAATTATAAAGAATTGTGATTCCCTTTCCATATTCGAATATCATTCACTCTCTCATGGAACTGAGCCCTTCTTGAGAAGCTGCCAATTGTACAGCTACTCAAGAACTTCACAGCATTTTATGGAACACGAATGTTCATTACCGTGTTCGCAAGAGCCCTCCACTGGTCCCTATCCTGAGCCAGATCAATCCAATCCATATCATCCCATTCAATCTCTCTAAGATCCATTTCAATTACGTCCACCCACCTATGCCTTGGTCTCCCCAGTGGTCTCTTTCCTTCTGGCTTTCCCGCCGATATCCTATATGCATTCCTCTTCTCCAGTCGTGCTACATGCGCTGCCAAGTTCGTCCACGTTCGAATATGGTACTTATATTTATATTTCTTCCTTTTGTGGATAATTTAATGATAATCTGGGTACTGTCATACAATTAATATGTATTAAAATTGTTTGGAAGTAAAGGCCGTGGGCCTGGGATACTCCAATACATTGATCATGAACACACAATCACTGCTGGCACAAAGTCTGGAACTGAATGCAGACGGGCTATTTCTATGGAATTTAATTAACTGTCATGGATTAAATGCCGAAAAATATGCATCACTTGATTGGACTCTGCCCTAGCAATGAGGAAGGCATTCTGCATGTTAGGAGTACACATAGCATTGGCCTCAGGCATCTCGGCTCTCTATGAAACCGGATCGAGCACATTTTGCAAACACTCGAAGTTACATACACTTCAGTGCCTGGTGCATCTTGCTGCAGCAATCCTGTTCCAGTAACACAACAATTAACCTTGGTGTCAACACCTTACGTAACTAAATTGCTTCTGATTGTGCATATGCACTCTAGAACGCCCAATGAAACACAGTATGAACCAATTAGCAAGATAAGACTTTGGGTCGCCACGCTAACAGATTTGTCAAGGTAATAAACGCCCTCCAGTTTTGGAGGGAAGCTGCGAATATATTGAATAAAAAGTCGCGGATAACTGACAAGGGGTGGCCTCCAGCTTGGGGGTTGGGTGTGGGGCTAACAACTCCTCACTCTAAAAAATTATTATGTTACGCAAATGAAGACAAAGCCTCGGACTGGACGGATTCCTTGGATAAACGACCTAAGCTAATGAAAATGGATATGAGATTTGGCACTTGGGATGTACGAAGTTTGTATAGGACAGGTTCGCTCAGGGCAGTGGCAGAAGAAATCTTAAAATATAAGTCAGATTTAGCGGGAGAACAGGAGGTCTGATGGGATGGAGGTGGCAACGCACCAGCAGGAGACTATACATTTTTCTATGGAAAGGGGATTGAAAATCATGAATTAGGTACAGGTTTTTCCGTACATAAGAGAATCGTATCAGCAGTTAAGAGGGTAGAGTTCGTTAGGGATAGGATATCATATATAATACTAAAAGTCGCTGGTGTGATATCATTGTTATGAATATCCACGCCCCAAGAGAAGATAAAATTGATGACATAAAGGATAGATTCTATGAAGAACTAGAACATGTATTCGATAAATTCCCGAAGTACCCTATGAAAATTTTGTTAGGAGATTTCAATGCCAAAGTAGGGAGGGAAGACATTTTCAAACCAACGATTGGGAATGAGAGTTTGCATGAAATTAGTAATGATAATGGAGTTAGAGTATTAAACTTTGCCATATCAAAAATCTTACTGTCAAATGTACAATGTTCCCACATCGTAACATCTGTAAGTTTACTTGGACATCTCCTGATGGGAAGATACACAATCAAATAGACCATATTTTGATAGATAGGAGATGCCACTCGAGTATACTTGATGTCCGATCATTCAGGGCAGTAGATTGTGATACTGACCACTACCTGGTGGTGGCAAAGGTTAG